ATGCCTTTTGAGTCATGGCCTCTTTTCATATCCACTCTATTTTCGCAACTCAGCATGAACTCAGCCAAAGTATTATTGAATTTCCCATTTCTCAGCATGAAGAAACATTTACCATTTTCTGGAATTCTGATTGTCAGAACAAACACTCTCCTTGCCCCTAGAGTCACTGCAAATAGCTTGAACCCACTGATGGAGAGCGGCTCCCCACTGCGCATGTGGAAATACTTGCCACCTTCACTGAAAGTGTGGGAAAAGGGGAAACTTGTGCACCACACTGTTTCATAAGCATTCTTTGCCTTTCTCCTCTGCAGGGATCAAAATTTGATGGCAGAGCACCACAGCACAGCCAGGTGCAAGGGCTCCATCCCGAGTTGCTGAGGACCTTTCTTCTGGGGTGCTGCGATGTCCTCCTGAGGGGTATTTCCCTGAACCTCTGCATGTTCCTGAGGTCTTATAAGGGACCTGACCCTCCTCCTTCAATAATGGACATTTCTTAAAGCTGAATCCACTCCTTCTTCTGGTAGAAAAGAAACAAATAGGCAACGCTGTGCACCCCACACCCATGAGCTTTATAAGCAGCACCTGGGATATGTCCATGCGTTTAGAAAATCTGCCTTCTTCTCTTGGAGCAATTTACCTGGAGATAACATTCTAATGAGCTAATATAGATTTGGACAAAGGCACATATTTCTGCACACAGTGCAACCTTGGGAAAGTAGTTGTCTATATCACTTTCAAACATGTTGGGAAAAAACAAGCCCAAGATAACAACTGCCACATCATCATCATTTATTTGACAATTATACATGATGTTTGATTTTCATAAAACAATGCTCACAGGAACTTCCACTCATTTTATTTAATTCTCATCATTTTCATAAACACCATAATTCATATTCCCCAAATAATGTCTATGACTGGTCTCATCCACTGCCACCTACAAAATCTCTCTCTCTCTCTCTCTCTCTCTCTCTCTCTCTTCTCTCTCATAAACTATTGTACAGAATTTTTTTCCTCAAGAAAGCTGATTCAGATTTATTCGTATATCAACTTAGTAAAGCTGTTAGTTAGATTCAGATATTAAAGGTGGGGATATTTAAAAGCTCCTTTAAGATTATTTATGTCAGTCTACAGTTTTCCAAATTACCCCTTGATAAAACTGCAGAGATAATAGGTGTCACTGAAGGAGGGGGCGAAGCTAGGATCTTCATGCCAAGACTTATATGTTCCTTAAACCATGGTGGCACATATCACAGAGCCCTAAGAAGAGTTTGCAGTTCTTCTTAGTTTAGTTGACTAAAGGGACCCCTTTCATCAGAAGGAGCTTATCACATGGTCAGCAGAACTCTTTTAGAAAACTGGACTGCTGGTCTCATCATATATCCTTAATTCCACAAACACCACTGAATTTTGCACAAAGCAAAACAAGTCAGAACCCGATCACTGGTCTGAGTCCAGACTTGGGCCTGACCCAATAAACCTGATTTCCACTAGATTTGCTCCTGGTCCACTCATTCCACAGTCACTTCAGTGGGAGCTTGAGGAAGCACCACACTGCAGAGCCAACTGAAACCTCCCTGTGGAGAGTTTTTAGAGTCTCTGTTGCAGTCTCCTCATCTCAGATGTGGAGAACGTGCTCCATCCACTCTTAGCTTGTGAATAAGCTTAATGCTGCAACTTTAAGAAAAAGAATCATTAGACATCTGTTTTCTTCTCTTGCAAAGATAAAACCTTTGGAGGGGGACATTTCCATTTACACATATTTTCTATCTGCATTTACAGACACACAAAAATCTACACTAAATCAAGATAAAAAAAATTATCATTTATCAGGGCTAGAGAGATGGCTCAGTAGTTAAGAGCACTGGCTGCTCTTACAGAGGACCTGGGTTTGGTTCCTGGCTGGCAGCTAACAACTGTCCATAACTGCAGATCCACGGATTCGACACCCTCTTCTGGCCACTGTGGGGATTGCATGTCACAGGTGCACCCACATACATCTGACAGGCAAAACTCTCATGCACATAAAATAAAATAAATAAATCCAAAAAATTAAAAATAATCATTTAATACCACTGCAATGTTGTTTTGTAGGAAAAACAATTCCATTACCATATGTGCCAGTTCCAAAACCAATATATATTTACCAAGTCTGCCTGAAGTCTCATGAGAAATCCTTACAAAAACAGAATTCTGCAGGAGTTTTGAGTCACATGGGATTGGATGTTAAATCAGCTCCTTTGTGGATGGAACAATATAAAAACAGAATGATTTTTATTCTAGGAAATGCTCTGGTAAAATGATTCTAGCTGACATATATTGCCTACTAACTGTACTAGGTACAATGCTAAGAATTCAATGTTGGCTTATAGTTATCCCTCTGTGGTAAGCACTATCATCACTCCTTTCCCAGGTAAGGAAACTGAGACTTAATGGGCTTATATCACAGCCTGGAGGAAGGGAGTCTAGACCCTGGGTTCACATGCAAGCAGTCAGAAACTGCAGATCCTTCCTAGTATACTTAAAATTATGTTGACCCCAAATTCAGCTTTAATAACAGCCATAATGGCCTAAAACAATCAAGTTAAAATGCACCTCATTTGTCTATCACTGCTTGAGTAAACACAATACCTATGGCATATGCTGGATTTTTCAATATCCCGTTAGTAGCTCAATATCTCCCCTATGAACGTGGTCCATGAGTGGTATGAATCAGGGAGGAACTGCATAAGGATCCAGGTTTAAAAGCTCTGAAACAACCGTTTTCATCTCTTGCCTCACTCATTCAGGTGTTCCGAAAGTCTAGGCCAGTGGAAATAAGCCATCATGCCAGACAAGCTCTGGGCCCTTAGTTGAAATTATCCTTTGGTGGTTCTCAGCCCTGTCTACTGATAGGAGTTATATGAAAAGTTCAATGCTGGTGGCCAACTTTAGTTCACTCACGTAGAGCAGAATCCATGGGGCAGGGCTGAGCCTCCGTTGTCTTACAACTCACTGTGCTGGAGTTTGAGAACTACCATCTTGATCTCCCTATCTCCTCCTTCCTCATCTTCATACACATGATTTCATTTGCGGCCTTGCCATCCTTAGACTGTGGCCAGATTCTGCTCTGGCTCTGTCCTCATGTGACATGAGTACCATGCTTTCACTTTCTTGTCTTAATAATGGAACAACAGCACTCACTTCAGAAGCCAGTAGTGAGAACAGAAAGAACCATGCACAGGAGGTGCAGGCAGCACAGCACCGAGGCACAGGAGGTGATCTTTCCCTGTCCATTTCTCTCCCCTTCCTGAGATGAGGAATTACCTAGAAGACTTGTAATTGCCAGGAATATGCAGAGACAGCATCATTTCCAAATCTGGAAGTTCACATACATTCCCAAGACATGAAAGCCTTATAATGAAGTCAGGTTGATAGGATCCCTTTCTTTTTTAGAAATACAATTTAGCAACATTAACCCAACCAGAAAATTACTCTTAAACGATACACATTAGATGGTGTATTGTCTAAAGTGACAATCTATTTTTAAGCTCTTCAAGGTGTATTTTATAAAACACTAGAATGATTAAACCAATTATCTACATTTTAAAGACTCTGGCTCTCCAAAGATTCTACCTCAAGAAAATGAGATGGCAAATGGTCTATAGCTTCCTTTTTCTCTCCTCAGAAAAGAGCTCTGTGAGGTGAAGGGAGGTTTTCAATCTGAGAAAATTCCAGTAGGAGCTAAGATGATCTCATCTGAATCAAACCATCACCAATCTGATGCGGAAAGATCACCAAACCAGCGTCCCCAGCTCCCCAGAGTGTTTGTCCAGATGCCTTCTCAGAAGCTATCTGTCTCCACTCGTGGTTCTCAGCCCTGGAGATAACTCAGATCAACGAATCCCAGGAGCTAGAAAGATGGATCAGCAGTTGGCTGCTGAGGGTTTAATGCTCTTGCAGAGGACCTGGGTCAGTTCCTAGCACCTACATGGTAGCTCATAACCGTTTGTAGTTCTAGTTTTGGAGAACCTGATGCCCTCCTCTGGCCTCTCTGGGCTGCTGCACACAACTGGTGCACATTTACTCATGCAGGCTGATGCAGAGATACATAATACAAAATCAGTTTTTAAAATGTCTTTTCAAACAACAATCTCAAAACAGCATAAAAAAGGACCAATGCCCAAGTCCTAGCTCTGGGAGCCTCTGGAGTGATTATTTTGGAGTAGAGTCCAAGTATCAGGACATTTGTAGTACCCAGGGGCTCTAATTTGAGCCAAATTGAGAACCACAGAACTATGTTTTGAAAAACTGTCAGCTATAAAACAGTCATGCATCATGCAATGACGCTTCAGTTAATGATGGACTGCACAGAGAATAGGATCGGCCACAAGCCTATGTAGTAGGTTATACCACTGGGGTTTGTGTAAGTATACCGAATGATGCTCATACAACAGTGAAATCACCCAATGGTAATATATTCTCATTGTGAAGTGATATACAACAGTCATTAGGGTTAGACAGATCTTGGGGACAGGTGACTAGGGCTGGTCTGTGCATGCAAACCCGTTCCTGTCCCTTCTAACTCACACTTGCCATGATACTGACCATGTGCCAAGATCTGTGACAAAAAAGCCATGGAAGTTTCCTTTTGGGAGCACTGCGGAGCCTTGTGGGAGGAGCATGGCTTGGTCACACACAGAACCAACAAGGACAGCTATACCATCAGGAGGACCTCCTCCACTTGGGGCTTTGTTTTCTTTCTTCATTCTGTAAAGTGGGGAAAATGGCAACTGCTGTGTATGACTGTTGTAAAAAATATGAAGAGGCTATATGTGAGAAAACACAAGTGGCCCTTCACAGTCACACTATACCATGGTAACCTGGTGGTCAAGGACCATGGGGTGCCTTGCAATGGAGTTTTCTACTGGATTTTCTTACGACAGTACAGAAAATTCATTTAATTCTCCACACAGAAGTTTTACACTTTAAATGATCTCACCACACGATGAAGAGCTTTTGTAATGAATTTATTTGTATTTGGCAGAAACTGCATCACTTAGCTGTCTAAGGAAACCACTTTCTTGAAATCAAGGGGCATTCTAAGCAAATAATACCCAGTCCACTGTCTTAGTTTGATCTCCGTGGCTGTGATAAACACCATGACCAAAAGCAACTTGGGAAGGAAAGGGTTTATCTTGTCTCATACTTCCAGGTCACCATCCATCACTGAGGGAAGTCAGGGCAGGAGCTCAAACAGGAGCAGAGGTAGGAACCACAGAGAACCCTGCTTATCAGTTTGGTTCCCTTGGCTCATGCTCAGCTAGTTGGATTAAACCACCTAGGATTACCTTCCCAGGGCTGGTACCTCCCACAGTGGACTGGGCAATCCTACATCAATTAGCAATCAAGGAAATGTCCCATAGTAATGCCCACATGCCAATCTAATCAAGGAAATTCTTCAACTGAAGTTCCCTCTTCCCAGCTGATTGAAGATTGTATAAAGTTAATAAAAACCAGGACCCCACATTCTGAATTAGGCAATTAAAAAGATGGAGGGTCGCTCAGTGACTTTGAGCAAGGCCTAACTGTGAGCAAATGAGTACAAAAGAGTTCTAGAGATCCGGTGGGAAGTATGGCTTAGACAACCGACGAGGGAGACAGCACTCCAGTCCCCGACCTCTAATCCAGACGTAAATAAGAGAACACTGAGAAAATGACAAGAGCACATCTGTCTCCTGAGACTCCTTGTACCCCTTAGGCTGAGGCATAGACATACTTCGAGTCACCTTCAAGCAGATTCTCTGGTCCTTTAGATACTTTACCCGAAACCAATTCAGTCCTGTATGCCTACTTCCTGGGACAGGTACAAAGTGTATAAACACTTGCGTCTCCTGATCTGAATCACAGCACTGATAACAGCTGGTGCCGAGAATATTGAAATGAGTGAATAACCTACTCCACATTACAGGCAATGATAACCTTCATAAATGTTCCATCTGAAGACGAAATGATAAATGACTCACTTCAGATGCGCACCAGCTGGCAAAGCCATCAGTGTCTAAGGAGCTAGCATCTCTTCCTTACTTTTCCAACATCTTCATGCCTAGATTCACTGCCTGTGTTTGCCCAAGAATGTCAGCAAGTCCACTTCCTCTCCAATCTGGGGCCTGAGCACAGCTGTTTTGCACAGATGCCACAATGTCAGCTCCTATCAACAGGTCTCCTAAGATGGAAAGGCACTGAGGTGTAGTCTTCAGCCTCCTCCCAGTGACACACCAGTGAAGGAGAGGAGCAAATGAATAAGGCTGGAAAGTCAACTCTTTTTTTACTCAAACAACAGGTGCCTTCAAATAGAATGTGACATTAAGGGGGAAAAAGTAAGAACACCTCCCTCAGGAAGCCGATCATTTTCATTTCAGTTTGTTTTCATCTTGTTTGTTTTAGAACTCACAAAGTACATGTTCCACTGTGAGTGGAGAAAAATATTTTGGAGCTAAGTCTTTCACTCGATCTTTCTCATCAAAATGTACATTTTTTCAAATGAGTGGGAAGATTGGAAATGCAAGGCTAATCAGTAACTGTATGCCTCTTACCCATGATGAATAATTTCAGAAACTTATAAAGGGAAATTTCTTGAGTTGTAAGCTTTGAGTGCTACATCAAGGCATAAAAAGTAAGTTTTGATTCAACCCAGAGGAAGTTAATGGCAACTGCCAGAGCTCACTGAACTTGGGGTGAAAGGCAGCTGCAGATTGAACACGGTTTGAATCTTCACTTGAAAGGCAGTGTAGGGTCCCTTTCACACTGGAGCCACGGGCTTTAAATCCATAGACGGAAAACTGATCTACTCTCCAGTTGATACCAGTGTGGGAAAACGTAGTTCCAGGTGTGGAGTATTTGGCTTCAGTCTTGTCTTGCTGATAATGAATCTCCCAGAAAGAGTACAGGCTTGCCACTGCTAACAGGGGCAAGCCAGGAATCAGCTCATGCCTCAGCTTCCTAATCTGTGACCTGGAGATGCGTTTACCACCCTCAGAGAATTAAAAAGTTTAGTACATGTTAATACCTTAGCATTGTCCCTGATGTATAAACATCCAAAGTTTGAAATACACATAAAAGTACAATTTTAGAAAACTATGTTAGGGAGCCCAAAAGTCATCACTTTTGAAGTTAAATACTCAGTAACTTACAAAACATGTAGATTTTGTTTGGATAATAGAAATGTAAGCTTTCTATAATGTCTTCAGACCTTGGAGATGGTCATGTCTCATTCCAATGAAGCTCCTGGATGGTTTTATCCATAGTCTCCTGCAACGGGACACAAAACAATGTTATTGGGAGCCAGCCAGCACTGAACACACTAACTTTCTACAGCGGGCAGCAGAGTTTAGAAGCAGAGCTACATCTACTGTTAAGACTACTGTTCATGCCAGCAGCTGTCAGGAGCAGCCAGCTATGTCTGCAGTGGCAATGACTATGGTACTGTACCTTTTGATCTAAGACCATTTCAGGAGGGTGAGGCACCCTGGGAAGCCGTTCAGAGGGGAGTGACTGCTCTGGATCATTAACAGTCCAAACTGGAAGTGGTAGTCAAACTCTGAGTCAGTCTTCTGGCAAGAGCCAACATTTACCCAGTTCTCCATCATTGATGGCCCCACCCATAGAAATCCATGAGGTTTACAAATCCTATGGCAGTACAGGAAGTTGGTTCTATGAAAAACATGGCTGTGGGTGCCATTACTTTCCAAATATGAGAGGCACTTTGGAACAGATGTGCAAGGATTCAAGGCGATGACCCCCAAGCTGTTTGCTGGCACTGAGGCTGGAGGATGATCCTTTTAGATATTTCAGAAACCATACAGTCATATAATGAAATGATTGCTGTGGGCTTCATCTGGAAGCTTGTTACTTGCAGAACCTTTTAAAGACTCAAATCCTCATATTCCAACACCCATCATACCCATAGGTTAGAAAGGGAAAATGTCAAAGTTCTTAGAGCATATATTAAATTAACATGAATGAAACTCAGACAAAATTATTTTGCAAAATAGCCACAGGTATACTTAAAATTGCTTCAAACATAAGAAAAATGTTAATGCTAACATAACAAGTACCTACACTCTTAGTAGGGCTTAATAAAATCCTAATGTTTTCCATGTTTGCTCAAAAATATTTTTAAAGTGATTAAATAGGAGCTGAGGAGATGGCTCAGTGGGTGAAGTGTTCTCTGAACAAGCATGAGGACCTGATCAGATCATCAGCACCCAGGTAAAAAGCCAGACACAGTGGTACATGGCTGTAACTCCAGTGATGGGAGGCCTCCAGGCAGGAGAATCCCTGGGACTTGCTGGCCATGAATCAGTGAGGTCCAGGTTCAATGAGAAACCCTGTCTCAAGGATACCCAATATCAACCTTTGGCCTGTCCCTCCACCCGTACCCCTCCCCGCCCCCTTTACACACAAGAGATTGAATTAATCATTATTCCTGGTCTATTACATCCCTTGCTCCCTAAAGCCATAATCCAGAATTAATTATTTATGTGCATGAGATTATTACATTGTTACCCATAAAATAGCTAATATTTCTGCATGCTTTAAAATAAAATTAATTGTACTAGATGGGGGAAGAAACAGGAAGGAAGTAGGGTGGGTATGGAGGCAGGGTGGATCTGGGTCCTCCCAGAGATGGAGGAAGGATAAATATGATTGAGATGCATTATATGAAGCTCTCATAGAATTAATAAAATAAAATACTTTAAAAATAATACAAATTGTGTTAGGTATTTTATATCTTGTGACTCACATTTCTTCTTCAACGTTATGTTAAGCACTGTTCATAAACAGTGTCCCTCAGCAATAGGAAATAATAACAGGAAGGTGATGAAAGATGCCGTGGTACATCTGTACAACCAGGTTATATAGAGATGGTCTTCAAAAAAACTATGTATTCTGCAAGGAATTTCTTTTGTAATATATTAAGCCTAAAAGTACAACAGAGCTATGTTTTGTTTTCCTTACCCAATCAGATCACACCTGTATTTTTAAAGCTAATCTAAAGCAGTTGCAATATTGCAACTTGTTAAACAAACAAACAAACAAACAAACAAACAAAAAACACTCTGCACAGCAAAAGAAACAACCAAGGAAGTGAAGACAAAATCCAAAGAGTGGGAGAAAATCTTCACCAGTGACACATCTGACTGAGGTTTAACAACCAGAATATATAAAGAACATAAAAAAAAGTAATCAAGAAAGCAATTAAAAGATGGCCTAAGGATCTGAGCAGAGTTCTCAAAAGAGGAAATAAAGGTGACTAAGAAGCATCTTATAAGGTGTTCAACATCGTTAGTAATTAGGGAAAATGAAAATTAAAACCACTTTAAGATTTCATCTTACCCCAGTAAGACTAGCTAAGATCAAGAGATCAAATGATACCAAATGCTGGAGTTGATGTGGGGAAAGGGGAATGCTCATCCACTGCTGGTGGGATTGCAAACTTGTGTAATCCCTATGGAAAGCAGTGTGGAGAACTCTTAAAAAATTGAAAATGAACCTACCGTTTGACCAGGTTATTCCATTCCTTGGCATATACCTAAATGATTCATCCTATTGCAGAGACACTTGTACAACCATGTTTGTTGCTGCTCTTTTCACAATAGCTAAGAGATGGAAGCAACCTAAGTGTCTTTCAACTGATGATTGGGTAATGAAAATGTGGTATATTTACACAATGGAGGTCTACTCAGCAGTAAAGAAAGATGAAATCATGAAATTTGCAGGTAAATGAATGGGACTGAAAACTGTTATATTTTGGACTTATTTCTACAGTTTAGTTTTGTGTTGTGCTTATAATTCTTTTTTTCTTGGCTGTCTTATTTTCCTTCTTACATCTACTGACTTCTTTGTGCTTGTTCATGTTTTCATTTGGATACTTGTTCTAGCTGTCATACCAAGTGGTGGCTCCATGACAATGGTTTATTTCTCAAGGTTATAAGACTTGAATTCTAAGATTGAGTTCCACAAGAGGTAGAGATAGAGAATATTGATGCATCCCTCAGCTCTCATCAGAGGAGCTTCCTCATGCAACACAGGAGCGATGAACACAAAAGGCCACAAAGGGCCAAAGTGTAGAGAATAAGAGACTGCAGGATTTATGTCCTGGATAGGACTATGTTATCCTCACTCACCCAGGGCTCAAGGACCATTGTGGAAGAGGGGGAGGAAAGACTGTAAGAACCAGGGGTGGCACAGGACTATAAGGAAACAATGTTACAGGCTCCTGGGAACTTGCTCATATGAACTTATGACAATGGTGACAGGTTGTACAAGACCCATCAAACTCAATCAGACAAAAATTAACATGAAACTGGGCGAATGGACAGCAGGCCTCAACCTTAGCTAAGGAACTATTAGCAGCTGATCACTGCAGGGTGGGGAGAGTTGATCTTCTTTAAGGGAGTGACTCTAGATAGGATGAACAGGCTCCAGTGGATGGACTCACATCAGGAGACAGCTGGCTACACAAACTTGACTCAATAGGCTTTAACACATAAGAAGAAAATGCATGAAATTCTGTGGGTGGCTGGGGGAGGGGTACGATAGTGCAGGTCTAAATATGATTAAAATGTATGATATGAAATCCACAAAAATTCAATAAAAATATACATTGAAGAAAAAAAATGTGAGTTCCAGAACTGTTGGGCTCTGGTCAGGGCTTTCCTTTCAGTTTAGACAGTCAGGTCAGGGTTGTATTCCTCCAGTGGTTCCCAAATCACTCCCAAATAGGACTGTATAGGGATTAGGCTTCAACATACAGAATTGGGGCAGAACACAGATGTTCAGTTTTCAGTTCATAACAATGTTATAGGTTATATTTAAATTATTTTACCGATTTTTCTGTGTGTGTGTTAGAAAGTCACAAAATTGCAAAGTTCTTCCTAATGAAAATACAGACCTTAGTATTCTCTAACTCCATATTGAAATACTTCCTTCCCCTATCTCTTTCCTACCTGGACATTATTCCTATAGTAATTAGCTACGCATTTACTGACATGTCTATTGATCTGTGTCATCGTGGTTAATCTCTGATTCTCACACTTCCATCTTAGGTCACTTTTCTTCCTGATCCACACCCTTGAACATTCTTTTTAACAATGGTAGTTGAGTACCAAATTATATCACTGAATATATTGTATAAATCCTGAAAATATTTTTGGTTTCCTTTACTAGCAGCTACTTAACTGAACTGTTTTGGCTGTTCGACATCACTTTATTTTCCCCTGCACATGGAAGGTTATTTTTCATCACCTTCTGACATCTACTGTGGCCAGTGAAAATGTCACTGCTGGTTGGTTACTCGAAGCCTTTCTGATCATAACCAGTTTTCCCAGCATTTTTCACCCTTGAAGCAATTTTGAAGCCTCTCCTCTAATGTCTCTAAGTATGCATTTGTTTTAATTAGGTAGGATAATTAAGGCCAATTTTCCATGTGAGCGTTTGAATCTTTCGTCACTTCGGTTACCTCATAGTTAGAATCCTGCTTTCCCACCCATTTGCTTTTTCTGTCCCATTAAAATTCCTGAGACATGTGAGGTCATCTTTCTATTTTCCATACTTTAATTTTGCGATTGAATTGTACTTTACTACCATATAATTCTCTCTTTTGATATATATCTCTAGTGGTTTTTAGTATACTCACAAAATTGTGTGATCATCATCATCATCATCATCTAATTTCCAAATATTTGATCACCTCGAAAAGAAATCCAATGGCCTTGAGAAGTCACCCCAGTTTCCTCTCCCCTCAGCCTCTGACAACGACTATACATGCCAGGTCTATAAGGAGCAGCCTTTTCTGAATATTTTGTATAAGTGGAATCTTTTGACACAAGACTTGGTGTCTGACATCTTCTCAAGACTCACCAGGGTATGGAATGCACTAGTGCTACATTCATTCCAAATGGATTAATATTTTCACCCATTTTTTGAAATTTAAGTTGTTTTCTGGTTTGAGCCATTATGAAAATGCTACTGGGGGCGCTTGTGAACAGGATTTATGTGAACATAGGCATTCAATTCCTTTGCATGCAAATGTAGAAGAATTCTTGGGTCATCTGATTACTGTATTTTTAACTTTTAGTTTGTTTTTGTTTTCTGGAGACAAGGCTTCTCTGCATGGCTTAAGCTCCCCAGCACCTGCTGTGAAGGCTGGCCGAACACATGATCCTCCTTCTCTCCGCAATGCTAACAGGCACACATCACCACATCTGGCTACATTTCACTTTTTAAGAAATGATTAAACACTTCCAAAGTGGCTATATCATTTTATGCTTGGGCCAGTAGTGTGCAAGGGTTGCAGTTTCTCAGCATCTTCACTACAGGTGTTTGTATTCATCTACTTTTTACCCATTCCAGTGCTTTTTAAGGAGGATCACAAGGAGCTTGATTTGCATTCTGTGATCACACATTCTCTGGTCATCTGTAGATCTTTGAAGAACTGTCTACTGATATCCTTTGCCATTTTTCAGTTTGGTTGTTTGGTTTCTGTTGCTGAGTTCCTTTTTTATAATTTATTTTTATTTTATTTTTTATGTGTATGAGTGTATTGCCTGCATGTATGTAAGTGCAGCCGTGTCATGCAATGCCTGCAGAGGTCAGAAGAGGGTGTCAGATTCCCTGGAACTGGAATTAAGAACAGTTGTTAGTCACCATGTGGGTCCTGGGACTTGAACTTAGGTCCTCTGCACGAGCAGTCAGTGCTCTTAAACCACTGAGCTATCTCTCCAGTCCCTTGTTGAGTCTCTTAAGTTCATTATAGAGTCTAGATTTTGATACCATAACAGTAATAAGGTTTGCAAATATTCTCTCCCATTCTAATAGTTGTCTTTTACCCTGTTCATAGTGTTGTTAGATGTCCCAAAGTTTGTAACTTTCCTGAACTCCAATTTACCTGTCATTTCTTTTGTTATCTCTGAAATTTAAGTGTTATGTGCTTCTTCCCACCACTTCCCAACTGCAATTCCTTGTTTGGTCTAGAGTATGTTTTATTTCCATCTAGTCCCTTAATCTTCTTTCTCAGAACCAGGGCTTATGGTGATACTTTATTTCTGAAGCCTCACAGTCATACTGAAGACATTGTTGATCCAGTTCCAAAGTTGGCTGGGTCTGGTAGAAATAGTGGACCAAAGTCATTCCATCTCCACAGGCCAATAGTTTGGACTGCAGCTCCCAAGTCAACAGCACTGATTTTACCCTTCTCATTCATGTCTTCTATTCAGACCCAGTCCCTCTGTTGGATCCCTGTATCCCTGGAGCACTCTTTGTCCCTTTGCTCTTTCTTGACAATCCCTACAGCTTCCCCATGGCTTCTGTCTGGTGATGTCAGGCACTGTGTGGAAGTTCCCTTTTGTTTTTAGTTCCCAGACTGGTTATCGCTAGCACTGCGTTTCAAAACACTTTTATTTGTTTTCCTATTTTGCTCATCTTTTGGAGAAGAGGCATGTACATCAAGGAATGAACCTCTTAGACCATCTTGGTCAGAATTCTGAAAAGGAGTTTCCAACTGTTAATGATTGAACTGAATAGCCTGGAGCTGACCAATTTGATTCACTGGATCTGGCCATGTAGATGGTGTTATGACTGAACTTTAAAAACTCCAACTACATCCATTCAACTGACTGCACAACCGATGCTTTTTAAAAACTGCTCTTTATTGGTGATAGTTAAGAATTATCTGTGATACAGCTGTGATAGTTTCACAGACTCCTTTGAAGTCAAGTTGTGAGGAGGCACCAGCTGGATCTGAGGAAGCAGCCATCAAGGCATTTGAGTAAAAAGGAGGCGATGTGTGTGTTCCTGAAAGGGGATGGAGAGAGCTGGCTGCTGCAGTTAGCTAGGAAGAGGACATCAGCTGGATGCTGTCAGTTGTGTCAGGTGTTTTGAGAACACCTCCTCTAACCCACAGGCTTCTGAGGTGGTCAGAACTTAGAATTTAAGACACCACTTTGGGACAAGTTTAGATGGCCAAACTCAGGCTAAAGACATAACAGCTGTCACTGTGGCTCAAGAGACCATGTAGACCTAGCAAGTCAGCCTAGGGTAAAGCAGCCTCAGGTGCTGTATAGTCTTGAAGACAGGCATGGGCTCAGAGTCCCCACCTGGCCTGAGAATGAGATCACTTCTCACCGGCTGGCACTGCTGGTGCAAAGCTGGATTCTGCTAACATTCTGAAATCCTAAGAGCACAGTAACCCCAGCACGGGCAAGAGGGGGGCTTCCAAGCATGAGACCAAAAGTCTATTCAGTACCGAAAAGCAAGTCAATATGGCTGAAGCAAATTAAAACTTTAAAACGAGCCATTTCCTGAGGATGGCTCCTTTCTATGTAATCGGAAACTACATTTGAGAGTGCTCACTTGCCTTGTGAACATTAGCAAGCCTCTACCTGTCACCTCAGAGGCATGGGGGTCAGAAAAGACTAGGACAGTCTCCACCGTGGAAAAAGCCACCAATCAACAGGTGAAAGCACTTTAAAGCAGATCACTGTGACACAATGTTAATTCTACCCAGATGATTTGGAGGGAGCTGCAAAGAGAAGTTAGCCCAGGAACATGAGTTTCAGGTAGTTGCAGAGGCAAGAAAACCCAAGGGGCTGAATCCAGCTGTCAGACTCGTGCAAGAAGTTACAGAACAGAGCTGAAAAAGCATGTCAATGTACATTACATTTTACCCACTGAAAGCACCACTAATTGTAACATGAACTATTATTTAATGTACAAGCAAGAAGGAAAATGATGCTAAGTGATCACACACCGTGGATTAAAACTAAGCTCAGAGAGATTACAAGGCAATGTACTCCATAGAATGGATAAAATATAGTAATTCCCCAAAACAGGAATCTGAAAGATGAATTAACACTAGAAAGCAGGTTTTTTAAAAGAAGATAAAGACAAAGAAAATGAGGATGTCATTTTTCTTATCAAAGTGGTTAAACTATGAATCATAACATTTAACACTAGTGAAAAGATGGTGAAAGAGCACATTAGTAAATTATAATAATAAAAGTGAAATACAGATTACTACTGAAAATTATCTTGATACTGTCAAGAACCTAAATATGAACACGCCCTGAAGCCAGCAATCTTGCCTCTAGAAATCTCATCTACTTCGCATTTAGAGACTACCAGGATGTATGCACAAGAATGTGACACTGCTTATGATGATAAAACTGCATTATAAATGCCAAATTACCATTGCACACACAAATAAGTGGGCATCATCAGAGAAGTCTTAGCCAATCACTGAACTGTTTCATTTACTAACAGAGAAAAATCTTCAAAAAGGGGAAATCAAAATTCCACATGAGATATAACAAATTCCGCATGAGGTATAACTTTATCCTAAGGAAAAAAAAATGTAATAAAACCTGGAAGGAGAGGGGATCTTGGTTGACTTCCAGGGTAGTATTATCAGCCAACATTTTTTCACAGATGGTCTTTCCACACTGAGTTCTATAATGGTTACATTAGTTTGCCCTCCCACCAGCAGTGAATAAGTGACTAATTATTATGCCCATAGATTAGTGCATCTCGCAAACCTTACCAGAGATGCTTCTTTTTGTAAGTGATGGCAGTTAACACAGAGATCCACAAGTGGTCAACATGCACAAAACAAGAGACTGCAGAGTCCCCAGCCCTAAACGGAACATCCAGATCACAGCCTTCCTCCCAAGGTTCAGGGAACATCACTGAAGAGGGGCGGATGACTACAATGAAACAGTGTCATACAGAACAGGGCAGTGGCACATTTGAACTCACAGCAGCTGTAACAACATGGTCAAACCAGACAAAATGCAGGCATAGAGGAGGAGGTGAGCATGAAGTCCCAGACAGAGCTGAGGAGCTATTGGAAATTTATAGCTGCTGGGAGATGGAGAGTCAGTTTTCTTTAAGAGTGTGGTACCTGGTAGATCGACCAAGTTCCAGTCAATGACCACACACCCAAGAGTACATGGGCACCACAAATTGTTAAAAAATATAAAAACACAAAGTTGGTTGGGTAGAGAAGGGGAAGTGGATCTGGAAGGAGTTGGGGGAGAAGGGTGAATACCAAAATCCAATGTATGAAATCCTCAGATAATTAATAAAAATACTTTTTATACTAGAAAATGACAACAACCATGTTTACTTCTTATAATTTCTCCTTCCCTCAAAAAAAATGTGTTTTTCCAAGTGCCACTACAGGTAATTGTAGACTCAGAGTGACTAGTAGGTGCCCTTTCCATTACCTGCAAACACAGAAGACATCAGGAGTGAATATTTTCCTAGATGCAAGATCCACTTCTGAATTTTCAATAGTAGAAGTTAACTTCATTACCTGTGACACTGTGTCAGACTGCGCTAAGTTTAGAGGCATCATTTCTAATCCTTACCAGACAGATAAGGCAGGTGAGCAAAACAAGTTTCCATGACAAAAAAGTAAAGATGAAGTTGCAAAATTTCAACATGAACAAAGTTGGAATTTGAATTCAAGTCTCTCTCTCTCTCTCTCTCTCTCTCTCTCTCTCTCTCTCTCCCTCTCTTTCAATTCACATTCCTTCCCCTGCACCTCCTGCCTCTCAGAGCCAGATACTTCTCAGCCTGTTCTTGGGAAAGAACAAATTGTAGTCTGTTGCTGGGTAGAAACAATTGTGACTGACCGGGGAAATAGCATGACCAAACTTTGCAGTCGTAGACAACAGACACCAAACTCTCTGATAAGAAGTTGGCTAGCTATCATCTGCTGCTTGTACTCCTGAGAAGCCAGCCCTTTCTGTTGTCTGTGGTCACTAAGGTAATGGAGCAATGTTGTTTACTTACCTGGCAAGGTAAGGCGACTTGTGGAGCTAGTGCTTGGGGCTGGTGAGTTGTGAGAACGCTTCTTGGTACCTGTGAAGAGGAAAAGGAGGGTAAGGAAAAGCAGGACTGTGGATGGACTTGTTGGACTGGCAAATGTTCATCTGAAATGCGATCAAATGGTACAGACATTTTGGTCTGAAAAGAACATGTAGAAGATGTTGGGTGAGGTGACAGGTGTGTATTCTATGTTGTGAAGAGGCCAGGGGTTCAGCTTCTGCCTTTGTGTGGTTATGCTCAGTACCCCTGGCTGGTAAGTTGGTATGCTGGACACCCAGCAATGCCATTTGTAATGTACTAGAGTCCAGCTCCCAGATGATTCTCATATGAATGCAGGGTAGGACATTACTAGCTGGGAGTAGGAAAGTTTTAGATTTAGAACTGAGGATCCAGGGGGTTTGTCGCTGTTTGGCTACAGCCTGTTCCTACTGCTGGAGGTCAAGTCATGAGTGGGATATCTCTGAGGTTCACATCTTTATCTGAAGATGAGGAAGTAACAACTATAGCTAGGTGTTCTGGTGAGCCAAGGTGCCTTAGAGCTCTCAGAGACCCAGGGTCAACACAGTCACTACTCCAGGGAGCTTCCCAGCAGATGGCAACAACATTCTCAGTAGGAAGGTGATTGTCTTCATTCCTATAAACAGTTTAACGGGTCAAAAGGAAATGAAGAGGCAGTGATGAGTTAAAAGAGAAAGCAAAACAAAAGGAGAGCACTACATTTCACACATGCATGCATGAACATATAAACTGACAAAGACATGTATATGCACATATATTAAAGAGTTATAAATGGTATTCATGCATTCATTCAACTTTTTCATGCTCTCCTTTTTGTCATCCATAGTGAGGAGAAAGACGCATGGAAGGCAGAATCCAGCAGCAGCCTATCTGATTCCTTCAGTTTGAGATACAGAAATGCAAAGACAATTCTCATTTATTGACCTATTGAATGATAGGTACAAGGTCTTATTTCGTGGTTCATGCTGGCCTTGACCTCATTATTCGACTTTAGTTGCCTGATCACTGTTACAGGCATGTGCCACCATTCCTGGCCAGGAAGAATTTTGAAGCAAAGTGTCTGTACAAATCAATTGCTATTTCTGTTACAAGTTCCAGCAAGCTCCCCAAACTACTAGGAAAGCCACATGTAGAGAACTGGGGTGAACAGAGGTTGTACTACTGGAGAAAACCCTGTCATCACAGTTCAGGTAAAAGCAACGAGGTGGCCTATAGACTGATCAGCATTACAGGAAACAGGAACCTAGGACTCAAGGCATGTGGGTATTCAGGGAGCTTTCTACACCAAGAATTCCCTAGTAAGGGGATAGAGAAATACATCTTTGGAGGGTGCTTGGGCTAGTTGGATTTTTAATCCTAAAGAGCACGGTGCCAACTCTGACATTCTGTTATTGTTAATTATTAGTATTGTTTTACTGTTGGCCAGAGGCGTGGTAGTGGTAGCAACAGGAAACACAGAAACCAATGCAGTTACCTCAGCTCTACAAGTTTGCTGATTTGCATAAGGTGAAAGAAGCTGCGTCTGGTGGGACCTTGATGATCCATTTTCCAAGTTTCTGGCTGCCCTGATTCAGCCAAGGTTATAGGGACTTTGGGGGTCCACCAGGCTGTACTTTGTTTCAGGGTCCTTGAGGGGATTTTCGTAACTATGGCTTCCAGGGTCTTCAGGATCCTGAAACAGAGTCTGTAGAGAACGGAGCCAGAGCTTTGCACCTTAGTGAGTTTCCCAGCAGAGTCTAGTGATCATCAGTGTAACAAGCTGGCGTGCATGACATGAGCTGAAAGATTTGCCCAGGGTGATGTCCTGGTCAGGCCCTGGGCTGCCTCACCACAAAAGTCCATTTACACTTTATCTTACACAGAGTCTGATACACTGTAACCTACACAAAGTACCTGATGAGTGTGTTCACCAGGTGTCCCACACAAAGTGCCTAGTGGGTGTCACTCACAGGACATCCCACACAAAGCACAGCAGAGCACAAGTTGGCACCGAGTGGAGTGGGGACATCACCTTGGTGCAAATCCATGCCTTGGATATTGTGGTCCAGAGTCCTTCTCGCTACACCATAAATGCTTCTGTTGGTCCTCAGGACCGCAGGATGCCAGTGACTCAAGGTGTTTGCCTTATACTCACAAGACCTTTGACTTGTCTCACAAGTATCTGAACAATTCCCCAACAACAGCATTAAGACACTTGAGCCGTAATCTTTGTGGTATAATTCTCTGTATTGTGTCAGGTTTAGCAGACTCCCTCATCTCTACACACTAGTTGTTAGTATCACCCCCCACACCCCCAGTCATGGTAACCAGAAGTGTCTTCCAGGGCTGGGGAGATGACTTAGTGGGTAAAGTGCTATGGAAGCAAGAGGATCTGAGTTCATATCCCCAGCACATATGTAAAAAGCCAGGCATGGCAGTGCATGTCTGTAACCCCAGTACTGATGGGGAGGGGACAAGCGAAACCTCAGGGCCTGCTGGCCAGCACGTCTGGCTGAAATGCTAAGTTCTGGGTTTAGTGAGACTCTGTCTCAAAAAATAAGGTAGAGAGCAGTAAAGGAAGATACCCATTTGACCTCTGAGTCACAGGCATGCACACATGCACAGACACACATGTACACACTCATACATATGTGATGTCTCCCAGGAAGTGGCTAAATACCTTCATCTGACAGTCACTTCAAAGAGGAGATAGAAGTCAGATTGTCTGAGAGCTTGTTCAGCAGCTATACTGGGGCATGGAGTTATGCCTATTTCCTTGGTCAAAGAATACTCCTTTCTATTTGAAGTTGTCCCCTCAAACTAGACAGGAAGCTCCTTGTCATGACACACAGGGAACTCAAAAGGGAAAGGAACACTTGCCTCAGCAGCCTGATCAGCTGACTCAAAATCTGGTGATTAGTGGGGTGATAGATGTTGCTGTTACCTTGCCTTCAAATCTGGCAATTAGAGTTGTATTCAAAAGTTCCCAATGTGGCTATTGGCCACTGATAATAGTTACAGTCAAAAACAACAGTTACTATGTCTTTGACTCCCCATTAACTAAGTACAAGGATATGTATAGTCACTGTCTTTTCTGATAAAATTGTTCTCATTTCATAGGATTTAGTGGGAAGGGAAGGTAAGAAAATCACTGTTACTGGGTGTTATGATTAGATTTAATTGTCAAGTTGACATAACTTAGAATCACCTGGGGAGAGAGTCTCAATGAGGGCTGCCTCCACGGGGTTGGCAGGTTGCCGTGTCTGTGAGAGATTGTCTTAATGAAGTTAATGGATGTGGAAGACCCAGCCCACTGTGGATGGAACCACTCCCTGGGTAGGGGGTTATGAACATCATGAGTCCAGAACTATATAAGAATGGATTGATCTAGCTGAGCACAAGCAAATGAGCATGGGCCATTCATTTTTCTATGCTCTTGACTGTGGATGCCATATGATGAGTTGTTTGACGTTCCTGCCTTGACTTCTCCACAGGGATAGATTGTAAGCTGAGATAACCCCCATATTTCTTTCTTTCAGGGTATTTTATCACAGCAACAGATGGGAGAGTAAGACACTGGGTACCGGGGATGGGTAAAGTTTGCTCCAAGACTTTCCTTTTTTGGCTTATTTCTATTTGTTTATGTATATGAACATTTTGCCTGCATGTATGTAAGTGCACCTGTGTGTGCAGTACCTGTAGAGGCTAGAAGAGGACATTGGATCCCCCGGAACTGGAGTAACAGGTGGTTGTTAACCACTATGTAGGTGTTGGGAACTGAACTTGGGTTCTCTACGAGAGCAGCCAGTGTTCTTAACCACTGAGCCATCTCCCCAGTCCCTGCTCCAAGACTTCAAAATGTAAACATACAGAAACTTTTATTCATGACTTTTACTTCTTCCTGACCAATCCATTGTCAGTTTCCCTTCAGTGCAGTTTTCTGCCCTTGCTCCCAAATAAGAAAGCCTTGGAACAATTATTTGAACAAAAAAAGGAAAAACGAAAGTAGACTCTTAGGCTCAACCTCCGCTCAGGGAGGTGGAATTTCCAGAGGAGACACCAGGGACTTTCGTGGTTCAAACGCCAACATTGGTAGCCCTCAAAAGGGCTTGATGCATCTTGGGCAGTTGAAATTTCCTCAGCCATCAAGATGCTCCAGTAGTAAAAACCCTTGCTGTACAAGTCTGATGATCTGAACTCAGCACCCGGAACCCATGTGTATTAATTTCCTCTCTGTTGCCATAATAAAACATCATGGTCAAGGTAACTTACAGAAAGAAGAGTTTATTGGGCTTACAGTTCAAGAGAGATAAGAATCTGTCATGGTGGGGGAACGTGGCTGTAGAAGAGGCTGGAGAAGACAACTGAGCTCCACACACAGGAAGCAGAGACAGAAACTGCATGCGGGAAACAGCTATGAACTCTCAAAGCCCACCCCCAGTGACATGCTTCCTCTAGCACGGCTGCACCTACTAAACATCCACAAACAGCACCACCAGCTAACCAAGAATTTCAATACTTGGAGCCCATGGGAAACATTCTCATTCGAACCACCACACTATGTAAAGGTGGAAGGAGAGGACTGAGGCCATAAAATTGTCCTCTGACCTCTACACACACCATGGCACATGTGTACACACATACACACACACACACACACACACACACACATACACAATTTAAAAAAGAAATCTTCTTTTCCTCCCTCTCCTCCATCCTCCTCCTACTCTCTCCCTCTAGGTGATCCTCCCCCTCCCCCTCCCCC